TCTTTCTCTCTGTCTCTCTCTCTGTCTCTCTCTCTCTCTGTCTCTTTCAGGCAAATGCAGATGCCCTCTGGCAGATTAAAAAAATAGGGGAGAGAATAGATGTAGTTTGTTTGAATACATTCTGTGTCAAATATTGTAAATCTAAATGAAAGGTATTATAGACATACAGATAAATCCCACCTGAGGAAAGGAAGTTGTTAATGCTATATATTTTGACAAGCTCAAAATGACATGGCTAGACGTAAAAATTATGTATAGTTGAATTTAGCCTTTTTTGGTGAATGTAAACACATTTGATGTTAACACATTAACCTAGCTACCTGTGTTTATTATTTTTAAATGTGTCATTCCTATGGAATGTGTTTTCACATGGATATTGTATGTGCTTTTAGGGTGCTGTGATTACACCAACAATGGACCACCCTATGTCAATGCAGCCAGCAAACATGATGGGCCCCCTGACACAGCAGATGAATCACCTTTCCTTGGGCACAACAGGAACGGTGAGTTGAAGAGTTTGTTTTGTTTCCTTATGTTCCTTTGATAGAATGAAATGTTCTCTGCTTGCACTGGCCTCATCAGTGAGACTGGTTCTATACCATTTACTAACACACCTCTCAGGTTCCAGTATGAGTAAGCTGCATTCTGGGTGTATGTTCAATTCCAGGGCAAATTGTTCACATGCACATGCACAAGACTGAGGGTTCTACTGTACTACATTTAAATTTCAGTGCTGTCTTGTTCCTGTTTCAAGAGATGCCAGGTGTAATTTGTATTTTTGGAAAGGTGTTCTTTTGTATGCACCTGTAAATCTAGACCTGTAACAATATACTTGAGCCTGGTTTTCTTTTTCCAGATTCTTGCCAATTTAGCCAATGTTTCATTTCCAGGTTATTCACAAGTCAGAGGTCAACTCTGACTATGACATAGCATGTTTTTTTATTTACTTTGAATGTTTAAGTCAACTAAAACATCATTGAGAACTTGGCATAATTGAGTTCTTTCAGTTTTTTCTTTTGGATATGTTGACATAGATGATGTTGCACCGAAGGAAGGGAATCTAATGTGTTTGTTTTGTATAGATTAGGATATTTTTGACTGATCACATTTCTTTTGGGAAACAAAAGTGTTAGAAAATGTCTATTGCAGCCTTTACTTTTATATCACTAAGGCATGTGAAATCATAGACAAATCTTTGTCTGCTTTTATAAAAAGTTGATTCCCCAAATTCTACTGACACTTTGTTAGTTACCATTATAGGTAACAATACAAACATAGAAGCCAACTTCTCAGGTGACATCATCAGTGATCGTTTTATATTTCATATGTGTGAGTGTAGATAATCTTGTCTCTTTTTAAGTTGTAGAAAGAAAAAAACTTGTTTTTTTTTTCTTCTGACTGAGGCAACTTAAGTCTTATAGAAGGAGCACTAGACTAGGAGTCAGGAATGCTAGATCTCAAATCTTGATTAGTCCTGTTGTTTCTATCTGTCCTTGAGAAGATAATATTTTCCAGTGTTAATTTCCCTCTCTCTCTAGTTGAAATATCAAACTCGATAATGGATGGTCCCCTTTGACTATGTGATTCTATATCTTTAAGCATATATGTGTCATAGTCACCACTTCCTCTCCTTTACAGTTGTGCTGACCTCATCTTTGAATATCTATGTACATTAAGCACATTAGCCATGCATTGGGAATTTGACCTTATAGCAATGGATTGCTTATCAATGAGATTCTGTTGACTTACAGGCTTTTTGCAATATGCGAAGTTTCTGATGTGTCAACTGAGACATTACTAGTCTGCCCTAAATAGGGAGAAAGTAAATATTCCTTAATGGAAAAAGTCAAATTATTGCAATAAAGGAATTTAGTTTTATTAACATAAACAAAGTACTCCTCTCTAAGGCTTCATTTGCTAAACCTATAAAAAGAAGTTGATGATAACTTATCTGTCTGAATCTTTGGGCTACATTTAATGATTCCTTAGTTTCTGACCTAGATTTTTAGAAGTCATATTTAATACTAAATTTAGTTATACACCAAGGTACAGTTAATTTCCATCAGGGAGATAGAGTTTAAAGATCATATTCTATTTCTTTTAGCAGTGTGTAAGGATTGTTTGTCATTTTGTGCATTACTAATAAGCAGGCTCCAAGAACAGTAGTGGGAGGCCTAAAGTTTCTTGGGTTCTCACTATAGACTTCCTTCCATATCAGTCTTCCTTTTCTTTAACGATCATAGATTCTGAATGAATGAAGAAATGCAATTTTACTGTACTAAATGGCAGTCTGGGTTAAATAATACAAAGGAATTATAATACAAAGGAGTTATAATACCAAGGAGGGAGTTATAATACAAAGCATAGGAAAAACCTTTATAAACTTTACACATTTGAATCAAAAGCAAAGCAAGTTGACTTCCTAAAGTTCAAGTTTGCAAACTAGGGAAAATACAGGAGCTAGGTTAAGCAGATGACTGAATCCTCTAGGGAATTAAAAGTAAATGATATAGACTAGGCTTGGAATTATAATTATTGTTGATTCAATAGCATACATAATGACTGTGTATTTGAGAATTTTAAATGAGATCATATATATATATATATACACACACACACACATATGTATATACATACACACACACACAAACACACACAGAACCTTAATTTTTATTCTGATGGTAACAGTCAAATCATTCAATAAAATATGTCCTACTTCCTTTCTTAGAGAGTAAAAATTTTAAGCATGTAGCTTAGTCTTTTTTATTTCTTTATTTAACTTTATTTATTATTATTATTTTTAAATTTTTCTGTAAGGCACATGTGCTCACCAAAGAGAGACAGGGGAAGTAAGGAAGCAAACCACCAGGTCTGGGACTCGAACTACAGTTTGCCATGGGGGAGTCTAGTGCCTTAACCACCACAACACCTGTTGACCCAACATGCCACTTATTTTTAACGTGGAATTTTCTGTAGCATTTTTATTTTTCATTATTTTCTCCCTTCACATTTTACTAAATGATGCTTAGACTGATAACAAACTTTATGTAACATAACGTTATACATTTTAAATTTAAAAAGGTTCTGGCTAGCCAGAGAGAAAAGAGTACTACTTCATTGATCCATTCAGTAAAATATATCACTGAGTATGTTTAGTGTTTAGAATATTTTTTAAATATCTTTTTAAAATATGTTTTTAAACTGTTACTCCAATACTTCAATATGCCACCATAGATTTATTTTGTCTGAATTTGTTTTTAGAGAGAGTTTTTTGCTATAGGGGATGTGTACTCACCAGAGAGAGAGATAGAAAGTGAAAAATTGTGCCCCGGGGGGGCTAGCCATGCCACAATCACCTCTCCTCCTTTCTCCTCTCTGGACTTTGGGTATGGCATGCACACATAGCCAGAGTGAGTTTTAAGCCATCAGGTCCAGGATTTGTACCATGGACAACTACATGAGAGTCCAGCACTTAACCATTACACCATCTGCTGGTAGCAATTTTGCCTAAATTTTTTAGCTGGCATTTGGAGTAGCTATTATGCAGCTGAGGTTGATTTGTAAATCAAATTTCCCCACTTTATTGCATCTTCCAATGCATCCATTGATGGAAAGATAGCCTGGCACCATGAAGAGACCAGTGGGCTTTGGAATCAAACTGAAGTTCAGAACCTGGCCCTGTCCCTAGTTAGCTATGCATGTGTGGGCAGCTGACCTAACTTCTTTGAAATTCTTCTTTTTTATAAAGTGTAAAAATAATAGATATATCCCAGGAATCTTGTGACTATTTAATAAAATAAGTAGCATACCTGGTAGAGTGCAGTGTCTAACACCTAGTAGATGCTTATCAAGTGAGCTTTCCTTACCCTTCTACCTCCAGTGGATTTTAGCTGGTGGGACTCTAGTCTGGGTTGCCAGAAAGGAAGTTGGACCCATCAAATCCACAGTACAATTCACTGGCCTGTTCTGTTTCATTTGATAATAACAGATTTCTTCAAAGTCTTCACTTCTTTAGCTGCTATGTACTCTGCCAGGTTTGCAAACTCACATGTCTATACAGTCCAGCCAAGTCACATTAATGAATGAAGTTCACTGAGTTCAAGCAAAAAATATGGCAAAGATATAATCAAAAAATTATTATATGTGCCTATATTATAAACATTCTAATGTTACATAAATATGCATGATGTTGAAGATTTTACTTCAGTGATATTTTCAATATAATAATATCTCTGCCCAATATCAGGTGAACAACAGGGAGAGTTACACCTTTGGCCAGCCTGGACCACGGGTGCCTTGAGAGATGGAAGCCACCACTCAACTCCAGATGGCTATTGCCCCATGGGCCTACAGACCCAGGGTAGTCTCAGCTTCCAGTTTTTCAAGATACTTGAATTTTGAAACAAATTTTCACTATATTTGAATATTAAGCCCAGTGTATCCCAAGAGCTCCCATTATCTCACTCCTGTCCAAAGTTTTCCTGGTTTACTTCTGCCCTCTTGGGCCAATCCTCTTCTTTTCTTTCATAGGCCACTAAACTAGGTTTTCATTTTCTTTTTTTGGAGAGATTTTTGCTATAGGGTGCATGCACTTGCCAGAAAGACAGAGAGAGAGAGAGACAGAAAGTGAGAAATCACCCCCCGGGGGGATGGCCATGCCACAATCCCTTCTCCTCCATTCTCCTCTCGGGCTCTTAGGCACGCACACACACACGCACCCGATGTGAGTTTAAACCACCTGGTCCAGGACTCGAACCGCGGTCAACTCCATAGGAGTCCAGCAACATAGCCGTTACACTATCTGGTGGTCCCAGGTTTTCATTTTCAACTTACTTCCATTCCAACTAATTTTCTTAAGCAATCATCCAATTTTATGGTTCCAAACCCTTAACTCTCATGCTGAAGACTGCAAAATCTGAGCCCTCACAATGCTAATCTCATCTTAGAGTGACTACTTCCTAGAAATCTCCATGTAAATCTCACTCAGACAGCTCAAAATCAGCACATTCCCCACTGATCTCATGAGCTTCCCTGACTGTCCAGTTGAATCCTTTTCCTCTTTATGTGCCTACTTCGTATTTGCTTTGGAGCTAATTCCATGACCATTATCCCCATAGCCAAAGCGTACAGACCCTTTTCTTCCCTTCATCACCATACGCAATTACTTTCATGTCACACTGATTTTGTTTCACAGACATTGGTTCAATGCATCTTTCTTCCATATTGCTAGAGTTTCTACCCTGGGTCTCATTTGATTAACTATAATAATCTCCTATCTGTTCTTCCTGCTTTCAGTCTCAACTTGTTGCAAACCATTCTCCACCATGTTTCCACTGAAAGTCAATGAACAACATTCTAACTATGATTTTCTCCTACCTAGAACTTTCCAGAGGCTTTCAGGCATCTGAGATTACTGAAATTCTCCAAAACAAGGAGTAAAACATGACAAGACCAGATTAAGATAGGAAGCTGAATTCAAGAAGCAGAGTGGCTCTAAGAGCAGAGCAGTGAAAGATCCAGAAAATAATCCAGGCTAGGCAGCAGTCAGGGCTGAAGAGAGAGAGCTCAATTAGAATTTTCTACTCTTAGAAGGGGAGTGATAGGCTTTAGTCTATACCCTACCTTCCCTTGTAAGATCCCTGACTAAAGAAGGTAGAGCGAGCCCTAGTCTCTTTTTTTATCTCCATTAAAGAAAATACATTTGGTCCTCCATGAGCCAGAATTTTGAAATGAATGCCATTTAGTTTTTCTCTACAATGTATTTGCCACCTCAGATGTTTATTGTTCAATTCTCTACCTATTTTGAAGCTGAACAGCATCTGCAGACTTTAAAAGAAATGAATTGTATACAAGCAATGTAACTGTTTATTTCAGGGCCCTTCTAACCTTGAAGAATTTTTTTTTTAGCTCTATTTATGATTATCATTTTTTTTTTGGCTTTCATTGACTTTTTTGTCATAGGATCCCCTTGATGGAAACAAAGCTCCATTGTTCATAATTTCTTATAGAATATATTTTAAGCTCTATTTATGATTATCATTTTTTTTGCTTTCATTGACTTTTTTGTCATAGGATCCCCTTGATGGAAACAAAGCTCCATTGTTCATAATTTCTTATCACCTTATTGTAAGCTTTAGGAGAAACCACTGGGAGTTTTACTTTGTTGTGAGAACCTCCAAATTGTATGACCAGCTTGTTTTACAAGTTTCTTATCTTCTTCTCATTTGTTCTGTTGTTGGTCACGAGTGGCTTACAATGTCGTCTGAATCTGGTAAAAGAAAGAGAAAGTTATTGTTCTGCAGCCTTCTTATCTGCAGTTGAGTTTGTGTTCTCCAAGCCACTGGTGATTTTGGACGCCATTGGATGTCATGGAGTAATGGTAGCCTTTGACAAAGATAATCTTGTAGTTGCACACCATTTACTCACCAGAGTTCTCTAGCATTTTTCAGTCAAACCTCTCTCACTGCTCTGAATTTTTCACAGGATCAAATGAAAATCCTGAATTATTCACTCTGCTTAGAGATGGTCTTTTTTCCATTGTTAGTTTTGAATATAAGTATTTTTAAAACTATGACTATTAATATTGAGACATAGAAAATAGATTGTTAAATGTATTCATGACTCAGGAAATAGTATCGTAAATGGTAACGCATAAATCTCAAATTTTTTTTAAAGAAAACATTTACTTAGTTATAAACAGTCAGATACTAGGACCAGCAGGTAGCATAATGGTTAAGTTGCTGGACTCCTAGGTAGTGGAACGCGGTTTGAGACCTGGACCCAGAGGCTTAAAACTCATCCCAGGCATGTGTGGACGTGTGCCCAAAATCCTGAGATGAGAATGGAGAAGAAGGGATCGCAGCGTGGCCATCCCCCCTGGGGGTGATTTCTCACTTTCTGCCTGTCTGTCCCTCTGGTGAGCACACATGCCCTATAGCAAAAAAAATCTCTCTCTAAACAAACAAACAAACAACAAAAAAATACCCCACAAATACTAGGAAGTAAATAAACATTAAAAAGGTAATAATTTTTATATTTTGCTTAGTCCCATTATAAATAAAAGACCTTTGAAGGTAGTCCTACAATATTAGCAATAAATGAGTAGGCATTAAGATTAGTATGATGAAACTGTTTATTAGCAAATATTAGGTCTTCGCTTTAGAAAAAAAAATGGATTCTGAGTCAAAATAAATTAGCAACACACTGAAAAGTCCCAACAGGTAAAAATACCAAAGATCATGAACAGATAGTTGGTAGTGGAGGGATTAGAAGGCTGAATAGCATATGAAAAAATTATAATCAAAGAAACAGAAACTGTAATTTAATCAGATACAAATACATGTATGTACACACACATATCCCATCAAATAAAGTTATCAAAAATCATACACATTGCTGATGAAACTGAAAGAAAACCCTCACACACTGATTATATGAAGCATTCTCAAAGACTCATTATATGATGAAAGCAATCTAAATTTATATAAGTGTCAGTTGGATAGCAAGTGAATATTCAAGACACTTCAAAACATTTCTAATGACTGACCAACCAGTTCTTTTTTGAAGAAGCTAATTTATGGAAATACTATAAAATAACCTAAAGGGCTTGATGCCTTAAAAGTGTTTGGCACAGTGTTCTTTATAATATATAGTAAAAAATGATTAGATAATCATATTTAATCTATAAACTAGAACGTAATACAGCATAAAATCAGAAAAGCTGAAAATAATTAGAAAGTGTTTATTTATCCTCTTAAATAAGAAAATGCTGAATATGACTTTGCACATGCAGAGTACAATACAGAAAATAGGTATAAAGTGAGGCTGTAGAGAAATACAAAACAAATGTGGGTATTTCTAGGTGATAGGATTAGGAGTAATTTCTTTTTTAATCATACTTTTGCTATTTTTATTTTTAAATGTTACAAATATATACCTAAAAATCACAAGTAGCATGGTCTAAAATTTAATTATTTTTGTTTTGGGTTTGAAGTAGTAATTTCTGTTTGCGGTTAATTTTTTTAAAAAGAAAGTACCAGGAATTATTACCACATTATTATTAATAAAACACTTGGTGACACATTAAAAATAATTCTATTTATTCTAGGCATGGGAATTTTAATTTTAATTTTACTAGTTCATCTACCTGTTTCAAGAAACAAAGCAACACATGCCTGAGGCTTAATTGCATTTGGATCTTTGGATCCAATGCAACCTGCTTGTATTGGTCAAAGTGCTTAGCAATGTTCAAATTCCTATTAGCCTTCTCACATGCCATTTATTCATGAGGATGTGATTGAGATTGTCCTTGTGCAGGAAGGAGACAAAAGTGAGAAATTTTTGATAGTTCAAAAGTTATCAAGTGGGTGGGAACATAAAGCTTGGGGTTTTAGATTTTGAAATGATCAAGGTAATATGAATGGAATAAGAGCTGCACAAGAGCATCTATTTAATGATGATTTGGCAGTTGATTTGAATGTGAGGTCCCTTTTACATAGTTCACTCCTCCAAGGATAGCTGGAGAATTAAAATTTCCTACGTTTAGAAGGGATGCCTAAGATGATAGGCAAAGTCCCACTCTCCCATTTAAGATCCCAAGCTCACAACCTTGTACAGAGCCAGAGCCTCTTTTTCATCTTCCAAAAAGGAGATATATAACTATTTTGTCTCATATCTCCAAATTTTGAAGTGACTACCATATATTTTAATTAAACATTCTCTAGAATTTGTCACATCCAACATTAGGGCCCTCTGGAAAAAAAATGACAAGCGTCTGTTCGATAGATTCTATGTTTTTATCTCTGCTCTTACAACTACTATGCATAAAAGCTCTTTGACTGTGATTACAAAGAACCTCAGCTTTACCTCACCCCCACCATTGTGATCAGAGCTGAGTGGTTAATCATGAAACTTTGGCTTCAAATCCTATTATCCTCCATAGAGTATGAGTATGTGGAATTATTTTATTTATCTTTTACATTTTTTTTTCTGTCTTTTGTTCTTTAAGGCTACGTTTTATTTCATTTTCTGAGCCCCCTCTACATGGGCTGCCTTGTGAAACTCTTGTGTCAACCAGAGAGAGTAAAAGTTTCATATCGATTCTCTGAGGGAGAGAACAGACTGAGGAAGATGACAATGGTCTGGTGCAAACAGTACTGACCCAGCAATTCTTGCTCATTCTCACAATATGTACACCGTGATCGTAATGGGGACCATAGTATCAACTCTAAACTAGGGGTCATACTGTCTTGACTGCTTGAAGCCAGGGGGGTTAGGGAACCATTTGGCACACAGTGGGCCTTTCCAAGTTTTAGAGCTAAGATTCTATTTTATTTTCTTTTGTACTTCATTGCATTCTTTCTCATGCTCTTTTCATTCAAAGATTCAATCCCAAGACAGGATTATGATACTTCACCAGCTGTTGTGTCAGGTAGGAAAATTCTAATTCCTTTAAGATTTGATTGGAGGGGAAAGATGGAGGTTGCCTGGTTTTCTTCAAAACTCTTTAAAGCAGTGATTCTCAAAAGGGGAAGAAGAGGTCTGTTCAGGACATTTAAATTTCAGTTTGGCAGACAGCATATAGTCCCAAAAAATGATATTTAATATGACGATACATATTTATGTCTGGAAAATAAATATATTGCTTTTAAAATAAAAAGTGAAAACCCAAGACACTTAGTCTATCAAGGATACACCGAAGATAGAGTCTATGTTCTGTGTATCAGTGATTCTCAGTGCTAGACAAGGTCATCAGAATTTCTGAAAAGTGGGAGGAGGATTTTATATTTAACAAAAGAGGGCACAGATTAATAAAAAGTGTTTGAGAAGCACTGCTTTAGAGACCACAATTTTTCTGAAATCAGAAAATCATCCCATTTTGCTTGCCCAGCACCAAGTATAGCATCTGACACATAGTAGGTACTCAATGTAATTGTTGAATGAATCAAAAAATTCAGATTTGCTCCAAAAATGATACTTTGGACATTGAAAGAGATGCCTTTTTGTACAATCAAGAAGCAGAGGTTAATTTGAGAATACAGAAGTATCTTGAGGATTTTTATTAGCAATATTTAAGTTCTTCCATAAAATTTAGTGGTGTAGTACAATTGTAAGAGGGTGGATGTATACAAAGAGGTAGGTTTTGCTTTTGAACCACACAGATTTTCCTGTGCTTTTGTCTTAATTTTGAATTTTGGTTAACCGCACAGTGGGATGGGGAATGTGGCAATTTTTAATTTTTGCTGTTCTTTTCTAACTAAATAAAATATTAACAGTCTGAAGAGCTTCAACCTCTTTGATCCTTGGACATGTCAGATGGCAATGACATAAAACCAAAAGTCAAAAAGGGGATTGAAATGGCAGAGGATGAAACAAAGGCCAGAAATAGACTGAAAGAATCTGTGTGGCCATTGAACCTGGCAGCCGGGTGGTGGTATTAAAGCAGAGAACATATTACTCTTGGCCTCATTTGCTTGCATGGTAATTGTGTTCTCATGTCTATGGACTCATTTAGCTAGGCTCATAGCTGAGTTTCATATCTTGGAACTTTTAAGAATGAGGAAGGACGAGTTAGCTTTTAGCTGTGAAGTCATGATGGTCTTCTTCATGATCTCATTTCTGTTCATTGCAATTAAGCCAAATACCACTTATCTTTCCCCAAAGCACGTTACCTATAATGTTTTAACATGCCTGTTTCATTTAAAATAGGGACCCCTGGAAAAACATTTTGTTGAAAATACACAACTCAACATTGTTTTATATGACATTTGGGCTTAATAAGAGGCATCTACTCTTGGTAATTTACCAAGATTATTACTCATAAAGGACATAAACTGCACCTTTCCTTCAACTAGCTTCCCTCATTTCATTTCCAAGAACACAGCGAAGAACACCAAAGAATTTCCTGGATAGCAGCCGTCTGCCAAGCTTTGCACAGATCAACTGAGGCAGAACATTTATGTGAAAATCTAGGGTCAGGGGTCTCTATCTGGTTCCACAAACAGGAGCCACTAAAAATTGTTGAACAGACAAATGAGTGAATAAAGGTGGTTCTTTAAGAAACTTAGGGACAGGGCTAGCCGGTTGTGGTTAAGGTCCTGGACTCCCACATGACCAACCATGGTTCGAGTCCCAGACCTGGTGGCTTGCTTTCTCATTTTCCTTCTCTCTGTCTCTGTTAAAATTTAATAATAATAAGTAAAATTAATAATTTTTGAGAGGTTTTCGCTGTAGGGTGAGTGCGCTAGCCAGACAGAGAGAGACATAGAGACAGAAAGCGAGAAATCACCCCCCAGGGGAGATGGTCATGCTGCAATCCTTTCTCCTCCATTCTCCTCTCAGGATCTTGGGCATGCACGCACACGCGCCCGGTGTGAGTTCTAAGCCACTAGGTCCAGGATGCGAACCGCGGTCAACTACGTGGGAGTCCAGCGACATAGCCATTACGCTAACTGCTGGATCCCAATAAATAATTCTTTTTCTTTTTTTTTTTTGGAGAGATTTTCACAGTAGGGCGCGTGCACTCGCCAGACAGACAGAGAGAGACATAGAGACAGAAAGCGAGAAATCACCCCCCAGGGGAGATGGTCATGCTGCAATCCTTTCTCCTCCATTCTCCTCTCAGGATCTTGGGCATGCACGCACACGCGCCCGGTGTGAGTTCTAAGCCACTAGGTCCAGGATGCGAACCGCGGTCAACTACGTGGGAGTCCAGCGACATAGCCATTACGCTAACTGCTGGATCCCAATAAATAATTCTTTTTCTTTTTTTTTTTTGGAGAGATTTTCACAGTAGGGCGCGTGCACTCGCCAGACAGACAGAGAGAGACATAGAGACAGAAAGCGAGAAATCACCCCCCAGGGGGGATGGTCACGCCGCAATCCCTTCTCCTCCATTCTCCTCTCGGGATCTTGGGCACGCACGCACACGCGCCCGGTGTGAGTTTTAAGCCACCGGGTCCGGGACACGAACTGCGGTAGACTATGTGGGAGTCCAGCAACATAGCCATTACGCTAACTGCTGGTTCCCATAAATAATTCTTTTAAAAAAAAGAATGAATGAAAGAAACTTAGGGGCTGGCTCTGCAGCTCAGTGGTTATTAACCCCTGTGTAATGGGAGCTAGATTGCACATGGCTTTCCATAGTTTGAGTCCCAGCCTTGATGACCTAAAATCATGCTGGAAATGTGTGTATGCATGCCCCCAATCCCGATTAGATAGAGAAGTGGAGGAGAAAGATGGAGATATGAGCACTCCCTATTGGGTGTGCTCTCTTTCTCTCTCTCTTGTTCTTTCTCTGGCTCTTTCTAATGAGCACACATACCTACTGGCAATGAACTGATTGATTAATAAAAGTTATTTGCGTTTATTGATTTTATTTATGTTCTTCTGCCTCATTTGATTTGTGTGGAGCCTGACACGTGGCTGTTATCCAGTACTTCTTACTCAGCCATACTATTTTAAAGGTAGCAAATATTTGAACATGATGGAAGGGATGATAGATGTTCATGTAAGTTTGTAAATATGGGAATAGAAAAATCAAAGGATTTGCCAGATGATAAACACTATCTGTTTTTATGTGAAGTATTAGGTGACATCTTTTGAGAAAGAGTGAGATATGGCATGGTAAGGATTTAGCGAGAACACATTTGAAAAATCTTTAAATAACAAGGCCAACTAGCACTGCATAGAATGTTTGAGAGGAAGTACCATGTTCTTTTGAAACTATAGACTGAATGTTTGTGATGCTGATCTCTGAGGATGTCTGACTTTCTTTGGTAGTGATCTGCCGAAGGCAGACGGATGTATTGATTCAGGTGTGAGAATTTGGTGAACAAGGTGACAAAAGGGGCCATGTGCATCGCTGATATTGGTAAGAAAATAATTGAGTGGCCAACTATGGTTTCAAATAAGAGTGAGATGAAAAGAGAGATGGTAGGAGATGGGAGTTAGGAAGAAACAGAAAATATACAGATTGAGACTCAATGAGATGTATAAAGTAGTCAGAAGTAGGATATTTGGATTTACGATCTTGGATAGTGAGCTGTTTCTTGGCAATGTTTGAGTCATGGGAACAGGGGAATAAAGTGGTATTGCAGTGAAGGGGACAGAAGGTAGAGAAGTCAAACCATAGGACTATAAGAAGCTGCTATTTTAGTGGAGTTCTTTGTACATATATGGATAGTATTTTATTTTTTTACTATTAATAGCTTAAGTGATATTTTAGTATACCTCAACAGTGAATATATATTAAAATAATAATAAAGTTTGGGAAGCAAGAGACTCTCCCATTTATTTCACTGGAGACATTTTTCCTACCCTACAACTTTTTTCTCCAAATAATTATGTATTTATTTTATTTTATTTGTTATTATTATTATTATTATTTAAGTTTGACCAGAGACAGAGAGAGAGAGAGAGGAAGGAAAGGGAAAGTGAGAAAGCAAACTGCCAGGTCCAAGACTCAAACCGCAGTTGGTCATGTGGGAATCCAGCACCTTAACCACCACACCACCATCTGACCCCATCCTACCCTACAACAGTTATACCTTACCCAGTTTACTTTAAGGACAGGGGACAGAAGGCTTGAAGTACCCTCAATATATTCATTCAAAATCAGGAAACTGTTCCCTTTTAAGTATGTCTGTTCCATACCAATGACAACTCCTTGAAAGATCCTCCCATTGTTAGCAACTCTTAGAAAAAAATATGTAAATGAATAGTAAAATACCATTTTTTATACATGGTTGGAGTTTATGAAGCTCATATGAAAACAACAGATAATTTATAGTTGCATATTTATGCCAGTTGCCTTCACTTTAATTACCTTGAAAGGCATCAGCATGAAATCATGCAAAAGACTACTATCACAAGGGAACCAAAGTAGAATCAAAATGTACCCACCTTTTCTTAAAAACTTAAGGTTCAGAATCTGAACCTAGGTTTTAAAAAGATGAAAAATGAAAAACAGGACCAAAAATTGTATTGGAAAGAACTCATAGAGTTTCTGGAACACATATTCATTCTCTATTGTATCCTTTTACATACCACCTAAACTGGGTTGAGGTAGTTAATTAGAACAGTTATGATGAAGTTTCAGAGAAAAGTATACATAAATTACAATATACCAGTCAAATATGAAGCCTTAAGTGTCAAATTTATAATTTCTAGCCATTGATTTATGCTCTAAGAATAAAATTCCTCATCAGGGTACTTGCCCCAATTAAAACAAAGCCCCCTCTTAAAAATAGTACCAGGTTTTTCACCTTGTTTTCCTGGCCGATAATAGAAGTTTACATTGGAAAACCACATTAATTTGAAATTGGTGATGCTCAACCAAAGGTTTGGGTGAGAATTATATTTTATAAAACTATCACATATTTTTGGAGGTTGAAGGAATATTTAAACTATTTTAAAGAACAAAACTCATTT